GTTATACATTTCACAAAATCCATAGGTGTTCCATGGCCAGGGTTCATTTCAATCCTCCTCCCCAATTTGCCAAAATTCACTGGCCGCCCTCCGGAAGTACCTTCTTGAGTTTACCAGATCTACCTTGTCCCAACGATTCCTCGCCCCCCGGACGAGACCTTTCATACATGTGAAAAACGGTGAAGGGGAAATTTCAAAACTGTAAATCAAGCCCGGCTAAATAAGGAATATTCTACCTCCTCTTGATATAAACTTACCCGCACGAAAGCCTCAAAAACCTTCCTCTCCTCCCTGACGGTCACTATCTTCATTATTCCTTTTCTTCTTCTTCTTCGCCTTACTTTCTCCTTTTCCCTTGTCACTGCTCACACTTTCCTTCCTCTTTGACGAGCGGATTCAGACTGGCAGTCGTCCTAAATCGAATCGTACCGCTTATGCTCAAAGGAGCTGCGTAAACAATAACCCGAAGCCACTGGATAAGTAGGCCATCAACAGCACGCGCGCGTTCATAGAATAAAACCATTCACCGACACTTATCGAAATTAACAGAAAGCCTGTCTAAATTAACAAAGGGCCACGGCACTTTATTGTTTATGAAAATTCCCCCCCTTCCCCATTCTGTTATGTTTGCGATTTTCAGATATCATATATAACTAGATAAACTAAATTTTTCGACTCTGTGAGAACGGATGATCCGTCTTTGACCTTATCTTAGTAAACCTGAGAACACCGTGGAACACCAAGTCCGTTGGTGTTCCCACCGAAAACGCAAGCCCAACCGTTTTGAGGGTTGAGATATAACGGTAAAAAGGTGGATTTTTGCCTTTGGGCCTTATGTTGGGCCTGTTCCAGGTCGATTACCATCATGAGACATGACTTAATCGAAAGCAAATTTAAAAAAGAATAAAATAAAAAAAAACAAAAAAAATCGAAGGTGGCGTACTTTGCGAAATTTCGATTTTAAACTTTAAAATCTCAAAATAAGGGTGAAAACTACCCCCTAAAATTTTATAAATTTTATAAATTTTTTTCAGATTCTACGGGAAATATGCTATAAAGTTACAATGGTTTCAGATTTTTTTTATTGGCACGACGACGACGACGAGAATTAAGAAACTGGTAGTCGAAGCAAAAATTCGAATTTTATGACAGCCATAGAAGCTTATGGTGTGGGTCAAAAAATCCGAAAAAATTCGACAAATGTTTTCTAAAATAGTACTACCGATTGCCATAGGTTTCGATCAAATCTAATTTTTGAGCGTACCCCTTTCACATGGAATGACCCATATATATATATATATTTTTTTTAACCAAAGAAATGTTATATCAACCACCTGTGATCCCAATTATATAGATATAGATATAACGCATTTCTTTTGTTAAAATATATATATATTTTTGAATAGTCAGTCGTCTACAAAATTACCGTATAAGTGTGCATTAAAAAAAATAAATTAAACATCTTTTTCTTTCTTTGGCACAAGTTAAAAAAATAAAAAAAAACTTGATAGCGCGTGAAAATAAAGATTGTGTACTGTGTATATTTTGCCATTTCAACATATTGAGGTAAGATACTCGGTTTAAATATTGAGCGGCGCGTGGAGCAACAAAACCCCTCATACGATTTCAAGTGCCTCTGTCTCCGAGAGGAGTCTAAATGCTATGGAACGAGAGGATGGCTTAACCATGGAAAAATGATGGGCTCTCCCGCTGGTTAATCCACCCTTTCCTCGGATAGAAAATTGTTACTTACCGGCGTAATTTGCGTAAAATTTGTCGTTTTATCTTTGTAAGGCCGTCACGGCAGATAAATGAAGGAAACTCAAACTTTTTCTTTTCCTTAATAACTTGATTATTATTTATATGCTGATCGATGATGTAAAAAAATTTTTCTCTGATTTTTTCAAGACACACGAATATTTCGTCAGCATGACAGTTTCTCCACAATACTCCCGAGCATCAATTACATCCGTATTGTAATTTCAATAATTGTTATATAACATTGAGTGTTATATCGTGGAGTACGAAATATGAATGTAATGATGCTCGGTGTTTACTAGGTCAATACATTGATATAATGAAACATTTCAGCAAAATATTTTATCAATTTCACATCGAAATCTTGCGATTGATTTCTCGGAAATTTTTGCAACAAGTAGATTCGATAAGTACTGCATATCTGTAAAATTTCATTACAATCGCATTGTCAAGTTTGGATGCGAATCGATCGGCGAGAATCCACACTGGAGAAACATAATTATCCGTGATCGCGGAATGCAACTAACGTGTTTGCATATATCGCGGTTAAATACCATTCTTTTCAAAGTTGGCTAATTTCTCGGCATAGCGTATATATTGTCCGACACCGTGAGGTGTTAAACGCTTTATGTATCGCTCGGTGGTACACCTCTTTTTATAATTGAAAGATTAAGGGGACGCGATTAGCTCATTTCTTCCGTTGTTTTCTAACCAATGAACGCGATTACACGCTCGGAAAGATATCAATACACCGATAAAAAGAAGTTGAAAAAATGGAAGATTTAACTGGTTGTTAAAGAAAGACGATTCCTATCGTCAATTTTATCTCGTTGCAATATAGTGTCTTGTTATATTCCATCGCTGCCATCATTTGGGACAAAATTCGTCGAGTTGTTACACTCGGTGGGTTGAATATCTTTGCCGGATTACGTAGAATTACATAGAAAATTGTGACAGCCCACGCTTCCAACGCAAGCCGAGTATTGTGAGTATACTGCTGCTCTTCAACGGTTCGCTTTGTATATGTATTTAAGAAATTAATACTCTAGGATCTTATAGCCAATGCTACGCCAAATATTTTGGAGAAAAATATTACACATTTCAATTTGTTAAATATTCGGTATAATTATTTAAATGTATACAAAAATATATAATTTTTGCTGTATCTGCGCCGTGTGTATTCTGACGTCAGACTGACGTCTGAAGTATCTTCTGACATTTCTACTTTAGTGTCTAAATACTTTTCCGTCAGACACAAAATCCAACAAACAATTGGCGTAAAGAAATAAAGTTTTTCGTATTTTAACGGAAGTAACAAATGTATAATATAGCCAAAAATAAATAAACAACTTATACACAAAACTTTTTTCACGTATTATATGTAACGTTACAGAACCGAAATATAATGAAAAATCATCTATCTTTATTTTGTATTTTATTTTGTACCTCAATATCGCAATAGGGTCAGACACGACTCCAAAGTGACTTCACTTTTTCTTTATACGGGAGGAAATTGAAGTGGCTTAACATTATGTTCAAATCTAACATTGACCTCCAACTATAATTCGTTTTTAGAGCAAGAAACAAAAGTCCTCGTCGTTTCACTAGCTTGCGAGAAATTCCAAATTAAAAATCGGCTAGAGTCGAGAAAATGAACGTAGAGTGCCAGATTAGGGCTAAGACGCAACCGGATTACCGCGAGTCGCTCTCCCCTCCCCCCTCCTTTGTCTTACGCCGATCTAATAAAAAACTCTTGGCCGACCTGATATCTGATAAAGCCGACGGAAGTTTTTCCGAGAAGAAGACCTTCTGTCGTTTTTTATTAGATCAGCCTAGTTTTCTCTTTCTCTCTCTCTCTCTCTTTCTATTTCCGAGTACCACAACAAGTCCGTCAGGTTATGCTTTTGCTCGCATTCAATCCAAAGTGCCCGCATCAAGGTCTTGGAGAGTTTTCAATAATTTACAACCACTACTTAAACTTGATACTTGAAATTCTCTCTGCGCAAACTAAGGAAATCGACTGTTCAAACCGGAGTGTAGTTGCCCTTGGGCTTGTGAAAGATCTTGCCGCGCACAAAGCGTCTCGTGATTTCACTCAGTAGCAGGCACTTCTCCTTCTTGACCTTCGTCAGAATACCCCAGTTCCCTTGCGCGCGCCGCGACAAGTACGGCAGCACCTCCTTAACGTCCGTACGGGATGTACTTGTACGCGGAATAACCAGACTGACCTGCAACGTCAACGATCGGATATTATACTTATGTATCGTAATTCACGTAGTCGCGTAAATCCCGAGAGAGAAGTCGATTTCGAGGACGAGTTGTCGCCATCCGCTTACATAACGGGAACGTTATGTAGTCACACATTCCCAATAATTGACCGAAACATATAACCTTATCCTCCGGCGAAATTCCAATCTCTTTCATTCTGAAAATGTAGACACGTTTTAGTTTCAAAAGTTCGAGAAAAAACCGGTTCTTTCATTTTTTTTCGTGTTAATTTTGCCTTTTCCGCGGGAAAATAAAAAACGGGGGGGGGGGGGNGTAGCTCTAGTTATATATAGTGGTAATGCATACATAATGCAGTGTGTATTCGCAGATACTCACTTCTCGATCGCGAAGCACACGGTATCCTCGTTGTGCGAGGCGACCATGATCCCTATCTTCTTGGGATCCTCCCCTTTATCCTTATATTGCTTAATTCGCCTCAAGCATTCCATGAGCGTCTTGTGATAGGACTCGGTCGTGGCTTCGTACGTAGGATTCGTGGGGTCCGGATAGCCCATAGCTGCCGCTCTCGTTCTCTGCGACGAAAAACTTGATCGTCTGGCACTTTTAAACAATTGTCTTTGATTTAAACATAGTGTGTTTCGCATACACCACGCGATAAATTGTACGCAGTACGGACCTGCTCGATGTAAGCACCGCGAACCAACTTAGCAGCGAAGTAAAAGTTTTGGCGTTCCGCCTGTTCGAGGTCGGTTTTCACCTCGTTAAACGCCTCCTGCAGATACGTCTGGTAAGTGTTGAACACCACGGCCTGAGAAGTAGACCATTTGTTGCAGTGAGAATATCATTCGCTGAAAATTGGCCGTGTGATAAAAGTCGCGGTGTCTTCGCGCGGAGCGTTACCTTTTTCACGTTGTACTTGCGCATCATTTCGAGGGTCAGGCGCGATATGGCTGGCTGGAAGTACGTTTGCTCTGCGTCTATCATTATGCGAACGTCCAGTTCGTCGGCCACCTGCGCGAGAGAAGGGAGCGACAAATTGGTCGGGCGAATATTAATGATATATAATTTTAAGATAATGTTATCGTCGAGGACGGTGCGAGCGCGTAGCTACGTACCGTGACGATATTATTCAGACGTCTGATCATATTCTTGAACATCTCCTCCTCCTTCGACGTGAGCTGCGATATTAGCCTCATCATTTTGCCCGTCTTCATATCAGGTACTTGGAAAGTCTCGCTCAGCTTGTAATTCTCGTCTAAGATGCCGCTCCTTGGGAACAAGTGAATCACATTGCGAACAATATTCGCAGTTAATTACGCACTGTCTTTGTGGGGAGAAAGAGTAAGGGATCAGACAGAATGAAGTGAATAAGGAAGAAGAAATGGAATATACGAGTTATAAGAAATACAATTTCGACAGTATTGATAATCCTAGTTTTCTATTCCTTTACTGTGGATTGAAGCCTGGTCGTTCTTATGTCGAAATTTTACTCCTCATTCCTAATTCCCTTTATTAAATTCGTTGATCCTTTCGTTATGTCTGAATCCTTAGAGTCAGAGAGAGAGAGAGAGAGAGAGAGAGAGAGAGAGAGAGGAAGAGGGGAAAGGAGAGGAGAGGAGGAGGGGAGAGCCATAATGAGTTACTCGATCTTGGTTACCTTTCTTTGTCCGACTGAATCTTCTGAAGAAACTTCTGCACCGGCGCCGCGTCTTTGATGTGCGCCTCCTCGAATTTCTTCGTGAAATCGTCGGGCTTCAGGTGGTGCGCCAGGACAGCACCTTCGCCGCCGACTACCTCCGTCATATATTGCCGCGCGCGCATGATCACTTCTGACAATTGAAGCTGAAATATAAGAGGAGGCGTGTTCCAGTTAATTTCATTCCGGTAGAAAAGTGTCTCACAAGTTCACCGTTTATCCGCCGCCAAGATCGGTGTTAAAGATAATCTCACTAACCAGAAGTTGCGGCCGACCGAGCGCCGTTAACTTCACAGCCGTGATGCCCATCCCCATTGAAGCACCTAGGAAGTTTCGCGTTAAAGAGCATGACGGTGGACGATTCCTCGGTGAAGAAAAACGCGCAAGAGAGCCGGCTGATTTCGTATCTTACGATTTGGGTAATTACATGGAGAAAAATTATTTGCTGACACAGCAAATTTTATGTTGTCGCAACAAATCTGTCAGTTACTGTATGAATAGCAAAACTATTTGTTAAAAGTATTAATTGCCATTCGCTGAGTTATCTTGCAGAATCCATCAATTATTTTTCTTTAAGAACAAATCAGTAAATGGAAAATACTATTTTCTGTTCTAACAGCAAATTAGCGTGTCCCAAGGACAAATTCACTCAGCGGTATATTTTATATCCTGACAACCTTTTTCTGCTTCAATTACAAATAATTCGCTACTTTTGTTAGACTCAGGGATGTTGTGATAATATCAGTGTCGCTAGTTGTCTTTTAATACCAAGTACTTTTATATCGATATTTTCTTTCGATATTTGCACTCATATCAGTAATATTTTCTCTCGATATCTTTTCGATGTTTTCTTTTTTATTCAGTGGATTTTCAAGATATCATGTAATTTTGCTTCATGAAAATTAGTGTAACGTGCAACTTATGTTTTAAATATCTATCCTATCTTTTCTCGTAATTTCTGTTATGTTAATTTTATGGTTATTTATTGATTGCTGAAATAGAAGGAAAGGATATTTTCACAAGTATGCAGAATTAGTCACGAATGTCATTTTGTGTGTATATTGTTTCATTTCCGCGTATACCGCATATAATTCTTAGTATGCGATTTCTCTTCTAATGTCATCAAATAAGGACAATCATAGCGAGAATACATGAGCTTTAACACATCCTTTTTAAGATTTTTCGATCACAAACCGTGTAGAAAGTTTAGTACAGAAGGTAGAAATGTCTTTATACCATACCATACTAAGATTGTTACATGTGAGTTTCCTTAAAAGTAACTTGCAAGACAAACACTTCCTTGGTCTTTATATTTCTTTTAATTTTGTTTAAAGTTTCGATATTAGTATCAATATTTTATTACTAGTATTATTAATAATATAGATATTCTTGATTAGGTACCCGCTTCGACATTAGTATTGATACTTTCATGGCATCACAACATCCGTAGTTATGCCAATTAAATTTTTTTGCTGTTACAATGATGGTTTCGCTACAACAGTAAAATTACTTTTCTCCGTGTAAGAATGACATGAGAGACTCGGAGAGTAGATTCAAGGAGAGAAAAAGAAGAGAGGAAGAGAAAGAGAGGAAAAACAAACAATGCTCGCGTTCAGCAGACAAAGTAGCTCAGTGAGCGCCTAATGATGATTGATCCTCATTTGGTATATTCTCTTAGATCTATCAAGGATCTGAAAGAACTCCAGTCACGGACAGTGATCACTAAACGTTCACTGAGCTTGTTTCTTTGCTGAACATAGCGTTATTATTAGGTGCGTCCAGAAGACACAACGGTTATACAACCGAAGAGCGATTGGCCACGTTCGGTAGAACGTTTATTCCACAACTGTTGAGAGTTTTCTGTGCTAAAATTGGATCATTCCTGTAGACTTATCAAAATAATCCAATTTCAGCACAGAAATCTTTCAACAGTTGTAGAATAAACGTTCTGCCAAAAATGGTCATTGTCGTTTTGATTCTTTTAGATCCATGGTGAATCCGAAGGAATATTCTCAATGACAATGAGAGCGTTCACTCAATCATAGAGGTTGACCTGAACGCAACCTGAATGTCTTCTTACCAGGATGGGGTTCGACTTGGTCATTACGCGTGATGTCGTGGAAAGGATATTTCAGTCGCAGGGTCTCGACTTCGTGCGCTGTGCGCACGTGTAGCTCTCTTCATATCAGTTTCTTGCCGGGGAGGGAGAGGAGGGATCAACAATATCGTGACAATATATCAAGACTTCTTCCCAGATCTCGTTTAGAAAACACATCGATCGTATCTCGCGGCCGGTCCCTCGTTCGTCAAACTCGTCCCCGACGCGTTACGTCACGCGATTTGGCTGGAGGGCGGCGCGGTGGTCCGCTCGCGTATCCGATATTTATAGCCGACCGTGGGACAGCGCGGACCTCTGACTCGCGGAATTTCGAAAGGTCCATCGTCGTCAAGTTGGCCGATGCTTGAGAACACGCGCCGCGACACGCGTGTTGTAAGCGGCGTCGCGGTGCGTTCGTTTTGGCAATGGCCCGACACGGTTACACAGCGTCGAGGGGCCGAACAACAACATTATGTAGCCGAGTGTCAGGTCGGCGAGAGAGAAAGAGAGAGAGCTCAGACGAGGAAGATCCGCCGCCGGCATAGCCGAGGGCGGCAATCGATTTCGCGCGAACTCTCGCGACCTCGCGACGTCGCTCGACGCCGCTATCATCCATGGAAAAGCGACACGACGTCGCACTTACTTGAGAAGATGTCGAGTCCAACATGAAGGCTACTCTTTCTCTCTCTCTCTCTCTCTCTCGTTGTTGCACCAGCACGTTAACTGTCACTCACCGCACTGAGAAAAAAGAAATTATAGTTATTAACTATCGCTATATTATTAGTTATAGTTATTCTCAACTTTATACCTTTTTTAGGTGCGTTTTGATTTAGCTATCATCAAAAGAGATGAAATTGGCAGTAGCGACAATTACTGGTGCTGCGTTTCTCACCAATAAATCAGCTATTGACATACAGTTGTTGGAAAGAGAGAGAGAGAGAGAGAGAGAGATATGATTGTTGTACTCAATATAATTGAACCAAGCGAGTAAAAGAGAGTCGGCTGGAACTGGCTGTTGAATTGAACAAAACAACATATATCAACCGCAGATAAAGAGATATATGTGATTTTGAGTAAACCGAAATTGAAATGTATGTTAATATTCTGATAATAAGGAAAATTAAGTCAGTAATGTTAAATCCAAGATATCCTTTAAGCTATTTTTTCATATACTTGAATACAAAAAGACCATCATTTCACATGCTCGTATTAAGAAAACATCTGTTTTATATTATTTATTCAGTCATTCTAAGAATTATTTATTGTCCAAGGCAATACAGCCTTTGACACCAACAGCTGATTTACTGGTAGGGCAACACCGGTAGTTTTATATGCTACTAACTTTGCCTCTTTTACTGGTGTTAGCTGAACCTATTTACAGACATATCATTTATAGTTTTAACCACACAGAAAAAAGTGCTAAATTGAAGTAAATAATTATTCTAATACTCCTCCTTAGCAAATTTTTACTTGGATTAAGTAAGTTTCACTTGGATCAAGTAGATATTTTACTTGAATTTATTTGAAAAATATTTTACTCAAATCAAGTAAATATTACTCGATCCAAGTAAATATTTGCTATGGGATATTGGAGTAATTATTTACTTGAATCTAGCGCTTGTTTTTTTCTGTATACAAAAATAGTGATATGCGTGTAAAGTTATTATCACAGATAATATAATAAAATTAGAAAAATGTTTCTCTTGACTATAGTTCCTCTACTATGATGATTATAGTTACCAAAATACCAAATATTTTCCTCTTCAACGTTCTAATATTGCCGCATCTCATTAATTTGATATGTAAAATCAATTGTATAAAATTGTAAAAAATTGTATAAAACCAATTATAAAATATCAACGTACGGAACCACTTGACGACGAATTAAATATATAGCCAATGGGGAGCCAAAACGGACTAACGAACGCATGTATCGTGAATTGCGTTTATCTGCCGTGCATGTTTGGTGATTCGAACTTTAGTCGAGCGTTGAAATAATGGAAATCAACGCGACGGTAAACGTGTTAATTAATTTAACGCGTCAACCGCTCGCGTCTGATTGCTCATTGACGAGCATACATTCCCATTCCGGGAATAACGAGCTGTGCTTGTTGTTACCCGCAAGTCGGACGACAAGTCAGAAGTCCTTTATAGGTTGCCTTTATATTTTAATGCCACATAACGACATACGTGACCATTTCGAGGCCCATCATACACAATGGTGTACACAAAAAAATAAGTTTGTCCTACGAAGAAAAGCAATTACTTTATTTTTCTTCTTTTAAGCAATAGTTATCTTGAATAAAAAATATTTGTTCTGTTGTGATATAGTATTAAAATATACTCATTACAAATATTAGAAAAGATCATTATTATTTATTCAAAAGAAGAATTTGTTTCCTTTTCAAAAATACTACAAACTTTATCGAAGAAAAGTTAAATTCGGTTAACTGGAATGAGTAAACAAAAGCTTTAGTGTTCTTGATTGAGGTACTAAACTTACTAGGATTTAGAATAATATTTTGAATAAATTTGACGCTCATGATGAATTTATGACATATTTATGGATGTATAAGCTTACGAAATACTTGAAACAAGTATATTTTAATATCAAGAAAATATTCTTTGTTTAAAATAACCGTTACTTAAAAAAAGAAAAATAAATTGACGCTTTCCTTCGCGGTATAATATTTTTCTTTGTATGCATGAGGAAGAGAAGGAGGAGGAAGACGGGAACGACCGGCCGAGGGAGGAGCTGAAGAAGCAGGACTCACCCGCCACGGTCTCCAGACACCTGATAAATATGTCCATGTTTCGCTCGCACGACGCCTCATTCAGGTAGAAATATGTCCTGGCCGACGACACTTTGTACCGCCGGTCGGCGAACGACTTTTCTACGCGGTACTTCTTCAGCGGGCCTTCCCTCTTCTCGTCGTCCGCCTCCGACACCGTGGCTCTGAAAATAAGAGAAACACACACACACACACACACACACAAATCGTGGAATCGTATTCGACGTTTTGTTGTTTCCTCCGTTCTCCACTTTTTTTCTCTCTCTTTTGCAATCGTCGCGTCGCGATTTCAAGCGTTCGCCACCTTTCGCGATCATCCGAGCCGGTCTTCGCGTTTTCAGGTAAAAAGAAAAAGGAGCTCTCTCTCTCTCCCGATCCGGTGAAGGAAACCGTAAATAAAGAACCGCCGTTCCCCGATAAAATTAGCGCGCGCGCAGCGGCGTCGTCGTGAGATGCGGATTAACCCTCTATGGGCCGAATTTTTGTTTTAAATCCAAAAAAATTGGGGGAAGGAAAAATTAGAAATTATAAACCTATATATGCAAATGAAAAAAAATTTTTCCGTTTAAACAATTTTATTGCAATATATTCACTATGTGACTTTCAGGTAACAACGGCCTATAAAGTTTGCATTTCTGTGTATAAAAACTTAAGCGTGGAATTCCACAAAATGGTTTGCATTTGGCGTTAAACATAAATGTACATTATTTTTTTGGACATATAGTGTTTTAGCCTTTGTCTTCCTTTGAACGGTATAATCTGCTCGTCAATACATACGTGTTCAGACATCGGAATGCGATTAAAATTTTTCACCAATTTATCCAGAATGGGTCTTATTTTTTGTAAACTATCGGTCACTTCTGCATTGTTTGTTGCATTGGCCTGTAAATTTCTACTAAAATGTATTTTTGATTTTATGTTTTTCCATCGCGTACGACTCATAGTATCGACAACAGCAGACACTCTTGTCTTTGAATTCCAATACATTTCAGTTCTCGGTAATCCGTAAATGGACATAAAAAAACAGCAGCCAAAGAATTGTTCGATTTCATTCACTGAAACAGCAATGGGTTTTGCTGGATTACATTACAGTGCATACATATTGGTATAGTCAACTATATTGCTTATAATTTCCTTGTCAAATAGTTTTCGAAAATAATGCGTCTAATTCTAATTCCTCTGTTATTTCTATCTGATTTTGTATTCATATTTTGGGTATATGATGTATAAATCTGAAAACAGGAGAAAGCACAAGCTTTATCCTAAATGTACCGAAATCTGCCATAATAGCCCACTGTAACCTCAAAGTTACAAAACTGTATCATAAAAAAACAGTAACAAATTGAAAATTGAAGTGCAAACAAATAGGTTGTTATTGATATACGAACCCAGAGCTATTATGTGCACTATTTTTAGTTTGGTAATCAGTGACAAAAGCACAAATAATATCAATTGGATCAAATGGTTTCTCTTATTTTTACTGCAGACAGTTTGCACAGCATTAATTTTGTTATTTCAGGTTGATGAGCCTAGCAACGGTCATAAATATTAAT